TTGCAGAAGTCACCCTCTCTCCACCTGAAGTGATCCTCATCTTTTGCAAGGACAGACACATACTTCAGGGCACATCTAAATGATGCAGGTGGTGTGAGCTGTGTCAGGGGTTCCCCAACCCACCTCGTGGTCACATGTATTCTCAGGGACTCACCTTTAAAAACTGTGAGGTTGCTCCATACAGCTCCAAGTGCTGCAAGGTGGCAGGTTTCTGCCTTCCCTCCCATGTCATTTTCCCTAGGACAAATGGCCATGGAGGGGGCCGCTTGCCCCTCAGGCTCCTTGTGTCCTGGGGTCATGTGATCAAGGACAAGTGGAGCCCAAGAAGCGGACATACAGGGCTCTTCATGGCCATTTCCACTAGGGAAAATCCATGGGAGAGTTCTCAGAGCTATGCTGAGAAATGTAATTGTGAAGCAGTTCAGAGGACCTCTGACATGGATCGTATCACCCATATCCTTTAGGTGAGCTCTCCAGCCAGCGGATGTTTTAGCCTGCTTTCTGCCTTTTATAAGTCAGATACTATTGTTCTTTGGGGTAATTTTTCTAAAGTATGACCATGGGGTCGCGAAGAGTCGGACTCGACTGTGCGACTGAACAACAACAACAAAAGTAATTAAACCCATTCTTGACCATGCATAAATTCCCTGTGCATACTACCAGTTTCCATGATGTGCAGTGTCCCTTGCAGTCTCTCCTTAAGAATACTGTTAAAAATTCATTAAAGTACAACTATCTATCATGTTTATAAGTTGGCTAATAAATTTTAAAAGTAATTATTGGTTTTGCTCCCAATTTCAAGACATATGGCTGCCTTTTTAGGGGTCTCTTTGTAGCACAACCCTCCAGAATGTGAATTCTTGGGGCCAAACTGCACGTTAAGCTTTCCTCATGGTTGCCGTGGGAAGCTTGCGGCTGGCATCATGCTACAAGTCCTTGTGGTGACCATGAGGCAAATGTTGTATGTAGTTTGGCCCTAAGGTCCTTTGTGGTAGGGAAACATGGGAAGCTTAGTTGCACGTGGTGGAGAAGGGAAGAAGACTGGAAGAAATCGTAGTTGTGCAGCAGCCGATGGTAACACAGAAAGAAAGGTCTGGTATTGTAATACATAACAACCACTATAAGCATGTATGGCAAGTTTTCATTCCCAGGGACTAAAGTAAGGTGTTCATTTGAAGCTTTTGCTTTGTGTCTCAGACTCGAATGTAGTAAAATATGTTTGGTTCCCCTACTGTAGCAAATCCATGAAAAGAATAAACATTCAGGCTTGGGGGTTTTTTTTTGCTTATTTGGAGTAGCACTGATAGTTGGTCGTTTAGGTCCCATGGGGAAAAAAAAATTCTGTCCAGAGGAAAAGAGAATAGTGATACAGCCTTTTTTTTTTTCTTCAGATGATGATTAGAAGTGGGAAAAGCTTATATCTTTTGAACTCTGGCCCCACTCAGACTGGGCTGTTGTGGTGCAGATTTCATGTCTTTATTTGCAGAATGCTTTTGCAGTAGCCAAGTGAGCTCTGACAGGTCAGTCAGTTGTGAGTATTTTGTTGTAATTTGGTTTCATCCTTGATGGAGTACATTCAGAGGAAGCCAGAGATTTTGTTTGATCTCTTCTAAATTGTGATTTCTGTTAACAGCAGACTGGCTGGATGAGGTAGTCAAATGAGAATGAACCCAGACAGAAGAGTTGGCAAGACTCTTCTGTTTACTTTTTTTTCTGGCCTGCAACCTCTGAATGTAGATGAAAATGCTCTAATCTTCTTAGTGGTCTAAACAAAAAGTGAATGTTGTAGCCCAGTTTCCAGGCAGCCCAGAAACGGCTCAGAAAATGAAAGTGTCACACAGAAATTCAATTATGCAGCACTTCCACTTGCATAATTTGATTCTCTGCTGATTGGCAAAAGCATACAGTGTGAAGCTGTCATCGCTCCCCTTTTGTTTCTCAGAAATAAACAAGCCCTATCCGTGCGCTCTCTGAATATTATTTCCACAGATTTTGACGAGGATACGTTGCCAACCCTTGTTATCATAGCACTTAATTCCTATGCAAAAACTTGCTGATTTTGCATATGTTTAAGCTGAGTGAAATTCTTGAAGTTTGTGAGCTGCCGTGCTATGCTAGCTCCATTTTCTGGTGATTCCTAGAACAAAAGGCTAAAAAAATTGCTGATAGAAGTTGCGTGCACTTGCAAGTAGGGGTGGGTATTGGGCAGAAGCCGAGCCGAATATATACCTGAATAAGGCCTTATCGGCGTATATTCAGCCGGATGTGATTCTCTGATGTGTGTATTCAGCAGCTGAATAGAGAATCCCAAATATATGCAGGATTCCTGAATCTATTCAGCTCCATTATACCCTATAGAGCCATTGCAGTCAATGACAAATCTCTCCTGGAGTATATTCAGGGGTTTGGGGGAGAGTAGAGGCACCAAATTTGCAGCATAGCTGCTAGAGTCTCTCCCCAAAGGAACCCCCAAGTCTCAAAAAGATTGGAGTAGCCAGCAGCAGAACCCAACCAGTGCCAGCCTACTAATGGCCCGTGGCAGCATCCTGTGCCATTGTGGCAAAGGCCACCCCCACAGGTCTGCTCTGATGTCTAGCACAGCTACAGAGTCACAGTCCAAGCAAGGGGGAGGGGGTTGCAAGGACATCAGAAGCAGTGCAACAGTGCCCATCAGCACAACCCAGTGCCAATGTGGCAGTGCCCAGAAAGAGCCAAATAGGGGTGCCTCCATCCCACCATTGCTTTCAGTAGTGGAAAAAATAACACAACAAGCCCAGCAGATTCTCCTAGAAAATCTCTGCAGTAGAAAGTGTCTGTGGGTTGTTGTTTTTTTAAGTTAAAGTGATAGACTTACCTTATCTTTCGTTCTGTTTCCTGCCATTTCTGCCACTTTCCTGCCATTTGCCCTGATTTACAACTGGGGGGTTGGACAGTGTGCTGTTTCTGCTGTCCCTGCAGAAATGCCATCCCGCATTTTGCACTTCAGAGATTCTCACATATGACATTCATCCAATTGGTTTCTTGGCACTGCCACAGTGGCACTGGTTCTTCTGGGTACACTTTACTGGTTCTGCTCCTGGCCTAGCAAACAATACCCCCCCAAAAAAAAACATTTTCTACTGCAGATCTGCTGGGCTCGTCGTGCTATTTTTCCCACCATTGGAAACAATGGTAGGATGGGGGCATCCTCTTTGAGCTCCCCTAGAATTGGATCCCCTGGTCCAATATTTTTGAGATATGGCAGTTTTTTGTGGGAGAGGCTCCAGCAGCTACACTGCAAATTTAATGCCTCTACCTCAACCCACCCACCCCGGCCCCTGAATACACCCTAGGAGAGACTTCCCCTTGACTACAATGGCCTCATAGAGTATAATGGAGCCAAATAGATTAGGGAATCCTGAATATTTGTGGAATAGGGTATCTGTACTGATCCTGATATTTGGGAATGTTTGGGTATACCAAATGTATTCGGATCAGAGAATCCCGAGTCCAAAATCACCAAATATTTTTTCTTTGCACACCCCTACTTGGAAGTTTGCAGATCATCCTGTAGACACTTCCTTGGCCTACTCAGAGCGTAATTAGAAAAAAGGCACTCCTTATCTCTGCAATAAAAAGCCTAGAGATTTTTTTTTTAATTAAAGCCAGAAGTGAGAGGAGCCAGCAGATCATGGTGATAGATTGCTATAATATCTTTAAAAGGATCTCAAGTGGTGCTGGGGAAATGGCAGCTATAGGGGGGGGCTGAGGCAAGGAGAGTGTGTGGGGGGGAACCGCCATCTGGATTCTCCCGGTGGCAACAGCAGGAGTCATCACCATGTGGAAGCGGCCACAGACAGAACTGTTGCAGGCCTTAAAATAAGGCAAGCTGGGAAGAAGCTGCTTGTGGCCATAGGGAAGCAAAGCATTCCCTTCTGCTTCCTCTCAGGCATGGCTGTGACTTCTTGATTAGAACACAAGGAAGACCCAACCGACCTGTTTCCACTGCACAGATTAGGAAGAAAAACTACATTTTCTTGCCTGCCTTCAGAACCAGAGCCTAGAATCTTGTTTTGTTTTTCCAGAAATGAAAGTTGTGAATTAGGGTTGCCAACTCCAGTTTAGGGAATTCCTGGAGATTGAGGAGTGGAGCCTGATGAGGGTGGGGTTTGGGGAGGGGAGGGACCTCAGTGGGATATAGTGCCATAGAGTCCACCCTCCAAAGCAGCTATTTTCTACAGAGGAACTGATATCTGTAGTCTGGAGATTACTTGTAATTCCTGGGGGTCTCCAGATTCTACCTGGAGGTTGGCAGCCCTACTGGGAATCCAGCACAGGTAATGGGCCAGATAGGCACCAGGTTATGGATAAGGTCCAAGCAAAAGGGCAGCCCTGAATGCAATAAGGCAATCACCTTTACCTTCTGAGGTCTCCAGCCTTTCAGTTTATTATTTGTTCTTTTTCTGTCACTTATCTCAATTTTCTGCTCCTTAATCCTCATGCAACCTCTTCAGGGTTTTTTAAATAGCTATTCAAGTGCAAGTGGCCCAGCGGAAGTCATTTGGGGTTTCTTTCCCCCTTTCGCTTGCTTTCCTTTCCAGTCCATCTTTTGCTGCAGCCCTTTGTTGTAAATCAGAAAATTGTCATTACTACTGTTTAAGCTCTCCCTTAGTTTAGTATGACAAGCTGAAAACCGCTGCAATAAAGGAACCAACCTTGAATCTTTCCACCTGTCACTCTATAACTCATTTATCATTCTTGAACACGCTGATGGAGAAGATAATGTCATTGCAGCACCAGGCATTCTTGAATAATGTACAATTCTGTAAGCCTTTCAAAACAATTTCATATCTACTGGATGATGAAATAAGGGAAAAAATGTCGGTGTATGATGAACTTGTATCGTAATACAAATATGTGTGTGTATAAAGAGAGTTTCCCTGGTATAGTTCAGAAATACTGTACAGAGCAAAGAACAGTGATGCTTTTGTCACTACAGCAGTTCTTATTTTCTCTCCTAGCTCTGTGCTGCTCATCTACCAACCAGATCAGATGCACCAAGGCATTATCAAGCAGTATGTCGGGCACTGTTTGCAGAAACAATGGAGCTGTACACGTTCTTGGCCAGAATTAAAAGCGCTAAAGAGGTAAATAATGCAAAAATCGCTTGAATGTTGGGTTGGTTCATTTCTAAGGGATGTTTCATGTTTCTGGATATTATTGTGCAGTAGACCCTTGGAAAAGACATATTTGTAGCATACAAATTGTGGCACTTTGAAAATTTTAAATTATGATTAAAGAAGGGGAAGGAGACTCTATGAGTGGATTCTTTGAACCATAAATTGAATACATTCACAGAATGGATCTCTTCTCCTTCTCCCTCGCAGCCTCTTTTGCTCTGTTCTACTCCTGCGGTTTCAAAGGACCCTCAAGAACAGAGTGGGATTTAGCACAGGTGGCTTCAGCTTGAGAGGAAGGCAGCAGAAATAATTCCCTCCCTTCTTGGTCAAATGGAGCATATTCTTATTCAAGAAGGGCATGGGGATTGCTGCCAATTCTCCATTCTTGCTGCAGTCCTCCATACCCATCCCAGCCTGCTCTTATGGATCCTCCAAACCTCAGTAGTAAATTGGCGGGGGGGGGGGGTTGGCAGAATATAGGAGTCAGCAAGGGGAGCGGGGAGAGAGATCTGTGTTCTGTGTACGCCTTCCGTTCACAATTCATAGACTCCAACTCTATAGAAGAAGAAGAAGAAAACCTTTATTCGGCATAACATAGATAAATCAAACAAAGGAAAAAGTTAAAGGGTGGGTACAAGAGACAACATCAACCAATATTCCCAATATCTCAAAATACAAGGCAATCCTAGCATGGTTTACAGGGTTTACAGAATATTACTCTTGACTTCCATATATGGGTCAGAAATTCTGCAACAGATAGCGTTATTGTTGGGCTCTTGTCTGCTAGAAAGAAATTTAAATCCCTATCCAGAAAGTCTCTCTGCGAAGGGAGAAGAGGGCAAATCAAAATATTGTGCATAACGAAATATTTAGGACAACGAAAAAGAATATCGGTAACAGAATCGGGTTCCCCAAGATTACAGTTGCAAAGTTTATCCTTATATGGAACACCCCTGTATCTACCTGAGACCACTACTGAAGGGAAAAGGTTAAACCTTGCAAGCATAAAGACCCTCCTAAAAACTGGGATTGTCAAATTGGCGATATACAGTACCATGGATGTATGTGAGGGAAAGATATCCCAAATTCTCCTCCTGACCACCTGCAAGATTGCTACCTCACCACAGTTATAAAGGGGTTCCAGGTCAATACCTAGGGTACCCACCTTTTTCACTATGGCCTGTGACCACTCTGATGTATAGGGGTCAGTTAAAAGTTGGACCATTAGGCTAGCAGGGGGAGATCGAAAGCAAAGCCGAAGCCAATATTTGATCGTAACGATCTAAGCCCGAGATTCTACCAAGTGAAGACCCAGCTCCTTGTAAAGAGCAAAGAGCGGCACTGAGTTGGAGACACCAAGAATCCTGCGCAAAAAGGTGGAGTAGATGCTCTCGACTCTCCTAGTAAAAGACTGGATCCAAATAGGAATCCCGTATAACAAACGCAATATAACAGTTTCTTGGAACATCTTAAGCGCAGCCGGTACGAATTGGTTGCCCTTTTGGGGGGAAAAAACCGAATTAGGGCTGCAGCCTTATTCTTAGCCATAGTCAGGGAATGTTCTCTATGCATGCACCAGCTTAGAATGTAACAAAATAACACTCCTAAATACCAGAAGGATTTTACCTGTTGTATTTCTCTTCCCGCTATTGACCAACTATTACATTTCCATGATTTAGAGAAAACCAGTATTTTTGTCTTATCAAGGTTAATGGAAAGGCAATTCCGTGAACAGTAAGCATTAAACTCTGATAGAGAGCGTATGAGATCAATCCTTGTAAAGGAGAGGATAGCTGCATCATCCGCGTAAAGCAAAACCGGAACTGCAGTCATGCTTAATTTAGACGGATGACCATTAACCCTATCCAAAGAGGATGATAAATCAGAAATAAACAGGTTAAAAAGTGACGGGGCAGGAACGCATCCTTGTTTAACCCCTTTAGAAACGCTTATTTCCTTAGTGAGGGAGCCTTTCCCATCAAACCTCACTTGACAAAAATTGGATGTATGCAGCTTCCAAATCAGAAATAAAAGGCGCTTGTCGATCCCCAATTTAAGAAGTTTATCCCACAATAAGGATCTGTTGACAGAATCAAAAGCTTTGCGGAGATCCACAAAAGCTACATAAAGTTTACCACGCAGATGACGAGAGTACTTTTCAGCTAGAAAAGCTAGAGTGGTACAGTGATCAAGAGTGGATTGATTTGCTGCGAAGCCAGTTTGTTCTCATCCAGGGAGATTCTGATCTGCCATCCATTTAGACAGTTTAACGAGCAGATGTTTAGCATATAACTTCCCTAGGACAGAGAGCAAGCTGATTGGTCTATAGTTGTCGGTGTTATTAGGATCCCCTTTCTTAAAAACTGGGACGACAACAGCACTCAGCCAAGAATTAGGAAGGATACCAAACTGATCAATCAAAGTAAACAAATGGGCTAAGGAACACGACCACCAATCAATGTTGTCTTTCAGTATCTCCGCAGGGAGCCCATCTAGACCAGGGGCCTTATTAGATTTAAGAGAGCCAATTAGTTCTGCAATTTCATCTTGCGAGACTGGAGGCGAATTCGGAATGTCAGGAGGTATCAATCCAAGATTGTTCATATCCAACTCAGAGGACTCATTGAACAAATCATTATAATAGGAGAACCATCTAATCGAAGGGATAGTGCAAGCAGGAGCAGCTCCAGTTGAGGAGTTGAGTTTACCAGCCAGAAGGCTCGAGTATCATTAGCTCGGGCAGCTTCGAAGAATCTAGCCCATTTTTCCAAGTAAAAAATATGGAGTTTTTTGTGCAAGCAACTGGCTGTATTCTTTCCTAAGCTTAAAAAACTGATTGGGGGAGTAGGCAAAGGTTCCCTGCTGGATTTGTCGAAAAGATTGCCTGAGTTTACTTTTTAAAAGCAGGTATTCTTTGTCAAACCAGGCGTTTGGGAGACTGGTTTGGCTGTTAGAGCCCACTGGTTTGGCAAAGGAAGAAATATTGTCGAAACTCTATATTTCTAGTTGCAATTATTACTGTAACCATTGATTCTGTCAGGTTTCTCCTGACTTTTATCTTATAAAGTATATAGACTCTGTCACTGAACATAATGGCTACTCCAGATGTGTTTCTAAGATGCGTGGCCTTTAGTTCCATCATACTTTCCTTTCTTGTCCCTGCTTCCCCCCCCCCTTTTTAGATTTGTTCCTTTTGTCCAGTAATCTCCTTATACCTATGAATGAACGTAAAGTTCCAGCTAAGAAAAGATAAAATAATCATAGGTGGCATAGTGATGAAGTAAAATTAATAATAGGATTCATTACTGTGAGTGCACAGTACATGAAAGGTTCAGACTCACAGTGTCCAGCATGCCTAAACATTAACATAGCACAGACACAAAGAGCTTTCATAAGATGAGCAGGCAGTTTCTGTTAAGCATCCACAGATGATTGTCATCATGGTAGATATGTGAATAAAAGCTATTAAAATACCCGTTTAAATTATGGAAATATTTTTGCTTGTGGAAGACATTGCACAAGTTAATTGCACGTATTGCAGTACATCTAGTTCTTCTACTTGTGCAAGTAGAACTATTGTAAGTGAATTGCATTTCTATTCACATATCACTAGATCCAGCCCCTGTGTATTCATCAAAATATAGCTAATGAGGACATATTTTTTACCTAATGTAACAACAGAAAAGTTTGCCTTTCTTCCTGAAGGTTAAATTGATTTTACTGTTAAGAAATGCAAAAAAAACCCCAAAAGCCAAAGAAACAAAAATTTATCCTGTATTTTGTAGACTTAGCAGAGCAAGTCTTCCACCAAACTATTATTTGTTGCTGTATTTGGGTTCCCCCCCCCATAAACATTTTCTTTGAAGAGTAAAAGCAGTCAAATTAGAACAAACATTCTTTAAAAGAAAGAGGAAAATATATTATCTGTCAATGGCAAAGCTTTCAAAAGATCTCTGGAGGGAAATTTCTCTGTATCATCTTTCCCAACAGATGTTAACCCCTTTTAGGAACATTAATTTTTCAGGGACAATTTATAATGTCTGTTAGCAGTTGGAGTGATGAGGAGTGAGTAGAATTCTTCACTCCGACGACTGATCCTGGCTGATGCTGTACTGAGAACCTAGCTGGAATTGTTTGTGATAAAATAGCACTCAGATATTATTTATTATGGTCACTATATTACAAATCAGTTGTCTTGTCCTGAACTGAGTCTAGAGAGAGCTGTTTTTAGTGGTCATTGACCTAAGACTAATGAACAGTGGGAGATTCAGTGATATCACTCCAGAGAATGAGACGAGATAAGGGGAATTTTTGTGCAAAACCTTTCATTATCAGTGTTATCCCATCTTGATCCCTTCCTATGCCATTTCTCTTTCCTCATCACCATAATTGTGATTCATAGTTTCTCCCCACACTGCTTCTCATCTGCTGATCATAGTATAAACACGTAGGGTGATATGCTACAAACCGCAAGTACCGTGCTGTCCCCTACTTGTTGGCAGCCTGTGACCCCTGAAAAGCTGTTGCAGGGGACTATGATGGACAGTATACCAGGTAGCATGCAGGGCTATGATGGACAGAAGTGAGCAAAATCACACATACACACCTTTGCACAACTGGAGAGCTTGTTCTACCAAACTGCCTCTACCAGAGCATCATCACTTCAGTTCAGCTCCCCCGTGCTGCATGGTATTTTGTTGGTGAGGTTTGCCCAACTGTCTGCATTGGTTTTCAGGGGTCATGGTGATGGGGGAAGGGAAAGCTTGGAAAGATCTGCTTCATGGCTTGCAGTATCCTACCAGTGATGCAGGTGCTATGAGTCCCACTTGGTACTTGTAATTGCAAGTAATTGCTAATTGCAACAGTGTCTCTCATCCTGCACTCTGCCCATTTCTCCTCCCTTCTAAATAAATTATCAGAAGAAGTAAATGGTGACAAACTGAGATGGGCTTGGGGTATGAAATACG